TTGCATGGAGGTGCCCCGCTTTGCTGGCCGCAGATGCCTCCTCTGTCTGCTGCAGACCCGCCTTGGCATGCAGGAGGATGCATGCCCACACGCTATACGCATGTTCCTCAAGTGGCGGTGTGTCCCTAGACACGTCATTTTTATTATTTCTCCTCCTGTGGCTTCCCGGCACACGCTTGCCCCAAGACACGCTCTGCCCTACTTCCCACGCAGGCAGGGCTCTGATCCGGCAGGCGCCCAGCACCCTCGGTCCCTGCTGAAGCTGCAGGGCTGCTGGCATGGCACAGGATCGGTGTTTGGCTCTGCGGCACCTGGTGCCAGGGCTTCCAGGCGGTGCAGCGAGCGCTGACCCAGCTGGCCCCCAGCCACGCTGCCCTGCAGGCAAGGCTGTCAGTGCAGCCATGCAGGCAGCACGGCGAAGTCAGCCAGGAGGATGAGCTTGTTGTTGTGCTGGGACCACAAAGCACCTGGGAGTCACCCAGGCTGGGCTCCTGGGGGCAAGCTGGCCGGGAGCAGGCAGGGATGGTGGTACGCGTGATTGCTCAGAGCACTTGTGCGCAAGGATGGTGTGCGAAGGTGCATGTTGATGTGCGCGCATGAGCGGGTTGGTTATACCCTGGCTCACTTTTGGATGTCAAAAGGGGAGTAAGACAAGGAGAGTTCAGGGGGTTTATATCTCCTGTGCTCTCCTGCAGTGCCCCAGTGAGGACAGATCGGAGGACAAGATGAAGAGCAAGGTAGGTCTGGGTTGGGGCTGCGGGGGATGGAGTGGGTTGCGTGCCCTGGATTAGCCCTTGTCACCTGCTGATGGCGCCCCAGCTCAGGTCTTCTTCATCCCATGGCTGGAGATGCACTGGTGGGGTGGGATGCTGCAGAGCCCAAGAGAAACCTGCCCCTTTGCAAGGTGGAGGGAGGGCTGTAAATATGACCAGGAGGATGAAGATGCAGGTGGAGACTGAGGTGCATGGCAGATGCGCAGGCAGCATGGTAGGCAAAGCCGCAATTTGCAGGCAGGGCTCAGAGACCTGGGACACCAGGGGCTGGAGACACATGAGGGGCAGGTGCTGGGGCTGGGGGCAGGTATAAAGGGGTGCGAAATGGGACTGTGGGGTGGAAAAGCAGAGTTAAAGGGTTCCACCTGAATTTAGGGTGGGGGGGAGGAGAGGGTGGAAGAGCTGGGCTGTGTTTGTCTTGCATTAGAGCCGCGGCTGGGACGTGGTTTCCCATCTCATCCCTGAGCACTGGTCTCTCGGCAGTGGTGCCCTCACAGGACTCAGATCTCGTTCCTTTACCCCAGGTGGATGCTGCAGCTGCTGTGCAGTAGCATGGCACGTGGTGATGCTCCTGGCCATGGCCTTTGCTGCCTGCTGGCCTGCCCTCTCCCTGGCAGTGCTCTGGGGGGCCTGCACCACAGCCTGCCATGGCATGGTCCTCTCTGAATGTGTCCTTAGCTCTGACAATAAAACAAGCCCATCTGAGGGGCTTTGGTCCTAATAAAAAAACCCGAACCACTCTGTCCTGCTTGTTGTGGGGTTAGCTTGGGTGGGGGGAGGTAGAAGGGAGAGAGCTGCCAGGGGTGCTACGGGTTCATATAGCATCCCACTGCACCATGGATGGAGCAGATGGTTTTTGAGCTTGGAAAGAAAGGACCATCTTTGTAAAACACATATGAAGATGACTAAACCAGAAGCACCCCAACAAGGAGGAAGAGGAGAATGGGGAAAAGTTTCCTTCTGGAGCTGGAGAATGATTCTGGCTGGGGGAAAATAAATAGCAACATCAGAACTGTGGCATGTTGATGCTTCTTCATCGAAGCACAATTTCTTTATCCACGCCGGTGATGCAATGATCCAGCCACGCACTGCCACCAGCATCCCCTCCCCACGGCATGAGACGGCGGCGGCAGGACATGCTGATGCATTATCTGGAGGAGGAGGAATTGGCCCCGTTAGCTACTGATAGCTCATGTGCAGAAAGATGACTCGTTACTTAAGCTCTGAGACAGCTCGGGTCAGATGCTGTTTATTAACAGAGAGCCCAGACAGATCCATCAAGTTGACTAAGCGCATCGTTAACCAGGGGTCAGCAGTGCGGTGTACCTCCTCCGCCAGCACAACCTCCCTCTCGGGCTGACGGGGTTGGCACGTGGGTGAGGGCAGGAGCTCTCCCAGCCATGTGCCAGCTCGGTCATGGGGCCAGACCCGGGTCCTGCCCTGAGAAAGGCATATCCCGGCAGGCCCTGGCACTGCAAACGTGGGTGCAAATTCAGCCCAGGCATCTGCAGATCTGAGCCCAGCCCGCCCTTGGTGCTGCTGGAGAGCAAAGCCAGGCAGTGCCAGCATCTCTCCTGCAGCCCCCCTGCTTTGTCCCTGGCTGCTCCCAGCCACCTACTCTCCATGCCCAAGCTGAGGTCCATGTTCCCAGGGGCTCAGCACCGGCACAGCACTGTCCACACCAGACATTGTTTCCACCATCAGAGGGCATTGTCGGATTAATTTTTATATCCCAGCTGATGGTCAGGCTGGTTTATTGAGGTGGTTGGGGTTAGTGATGATGCCACCTGGGGTGGATGTTGCAGTCCCGTTGGCGGGTCAAGAGCAGGCCTTCCCCTGGCATGCTCACACCTGGCCTTGGACACTGATGGGGATGTCCTGGCCCCCTTGATGTCCCTGGCATCTTGGCATGTGGCTTTGGCCAGTGGGAGCCTTGGGGGACAGGGGCTGGGAGCGGGCTCTGTTAGCTAGGGGTTTGCTAACATAGGGGAGAAGCAGCATCTCCAAGACTGTGTCATGCTGCACACTGTGCCCTTTCCAGACTCTTAATGCAGTCCTACAGGGCAAAGACTGTGTTTGTAACCCCACAGGGGACCGGAGTGGGTAACAGCATCCACTTTTAATGAGCTCTCCCCGGGAAAGGTCCAGAGAGCATGGAGTGGAAAAAGCCACTAGATGTTTTTTCTGAAAGCAATCATCCACATGCCTTTTAATTTATGAGCATCCCAGTTGTCAGGTTTCTGGGCACCTTAGCAAGGATCAGGCAAAGGCATCAGTTCCAGGAAAGCAGCCTCTTGCAGAAATACGATGCAAGTGGGAATCAGACCTGTGCTCAGTAAACAGCAGCCCTAACCCCAGGCCAAGCTACTGCAGTGCAAAAGGACCATGGGCATGGGGCAGGGCGGGGGGGCCTCTCTGTGCTAGCCTGGGGTTGCAGCATCCTCAAGCACTAATGATATGGGATTTTGGGTTATCACCTCGAGGGGGCTGAGAGGACGTCCAGGGCCCCTCCATCATGACGAGGTCCAAGGGAGGGATTTGCTCCTGTCCTTGCCTTTGCTCTTCCTGTTTTGCCGGGTGTAGTCTGAGCCAGGAGCACTTACAAAATGTGTGAGGCTGAGCCCCTCATCTCCTCTCATTTTTCCTCCCACCCTTCTTTGCTGCCCTCCTCTTCCTCTCAAGAGAAATGGAGGAGCTTCTTTCAGGCTAAACTGAGCTGGTGGCAGTGGTGGGCGAAGGGGACACCCAGCAGCCCCATTGCCCGTGCTACATGTGCACAGCATTGCTCTCCATAGCCAGCTAAAGAGCCACCCATAAATCTCACCCACCCAAGGTCCTTTTCCTTTCCGCACACCCTTCCAGCCCCTGCGGGAACTTGCTGCAGTCTCTTTGCCCGTCAGTCTGTGACGCCGGAGGGGCACGACTCTCCCAGGGACGGGGAAGGGTCATAAGAAATGTTTCCAATGGGAGACTGGTGAACAAGGGATGCTGATAAGAAAAGAATCCCAATTAACTCAAATTAACTCTTCCCACTGCCACTTCAGCCCTGGAAGATCCTGCTGCAGAGCTGGGACTGGCAGTGTGGCTGCCAGCATCCATAGGGACCACAGAGCTGGGTGGGGGTGACGGTCCATCTCCAGCCACCCCCTGCTCAAATGTGACCAACGATAGATCCTGCCCACGGCTAAACCTGAGGCAGACATATGGGGGTGGGCAAATGCCCCTGTGGCAACATCAACACCAACATGGTGGCCTGCAGTCGTCCCCCACTCACCCCCAGATGGCCTCAGGTACCTCTCTGCTCGCCTGGGCCATGGAGGTGGCTGCATTAGCCCACAAAGTTTGGGTCAAAAGGGTTTGGCTGCACAGGGAGGGTGGTAGGGAGCGATGGGGGAGACGAGACAAACGGGCTGGGAGAGACTTTGCCTCTGCCTTGCACAGAAGACAGGCAGGAGAAAAGAGGGAAAAATGACTCAAAGCCGAAGTAAAAGGAGAGAAAAGACACATGGAGGGGACCCAGCTCCCTGGGTGCAGCTTGCAGAGGTGGTGGGTGCTGCTGGGGTCCATTGGGAGACACTGGGGCAGCAAAGGGTACTTACTGCAGAGTGCACTCTGGGGGTTTTCTTTCCCCTCTTTGGTAGCATTGGGAGTTGGAGACAGACCCTTTGCTCTGTGGGGATGGTGGGTTCATAACTGTGGGTGCTGGCATTGCCATGGGATGCCTTTTCCTATCTCTTCCCATGTCGCAGCCCAACTCACCTCTCCCTGGTTTGGGAGGGGAAAGAAAGGGCTTGAAAGTTCCCAGCTTTGGAGCTGCAGAAATCACATTGTCCTGGGCTCCTCTGGTTCTCAGCAGCTTCACTCCCACCAGGGCATCCCTTTGCTCCCGTGCCCAGGTTCCCCCCATGGGTCCATGGACGTGGGGGCCAGAGCATGAGGTGCATCACCGACTGCCACGCTCCAAGGAGCCAGAGGTCTCCATCAATGGCAGAGGACCTCCTGGGTGGTTTTTATCATTTTACTTTATTTGCATGAAGATAAACTGCGCCTTTGTCTGTACAATTTCTCCTTAAATACTTGGCAACCCTTAAAAAAAACAAAACCAAAAACAAACAGAAAAAAAAACAAAAAAGGAAAGGAACAGTGCAGGCTACAATATCAAAACAGTACAATGCTTGTGAATAAATAACCCCCAGGGCAGCTGGGGGACACGGCTGTTCAGATTGCACAGCGCTGGTGAATCCAGCCCTCCCGGGTCCTCACCAGCCCTTCCCCAGCAGCAGGAACAGCGGCCAGATGGGGATCGGGCTGGGCACGGAGGACCCCTCTCTGCTCTCTCCCAGCTCCTAGTTGCCCGGCTCAGCCGTGGTGGTGCTGGTGTTTTTGTTGGTTTTGCAGCAGAAGTACTGGTTCCAGATCTGCAGGAAAGCTGTCCGGAACTTCTTGATCCTGAAGGCGTAGACGATGGGGTTCATGGCCGAGTTGCCGTGGGTGAGGAAGATGGCGATGTAGGTGAGGATGTGCGGCGTCTCGCAGGATGGGCAGAACAAGGTGATGCAGTTGAGGACGTGCAGAGGGAGCCAGCTGAGCGCAAAGAGGAAGAGAACCAGTGCTAATGACTTCGCAATCTTTAGCTCCTTCCCATAATACTTCTGAGGGTCGTTGGAGCTGGAGGAGACCTTCTTGTTGAGTTGCTTGCGGATAAGGTTGAAGACTTCCAGGTAGATGAGCAGCATCAGCAACAGGGGAGGCAGGACCCAAACGAAGAAGTTGAAGTACACCATGTACTCCATGCTGATGACCGTCTCAAACTGGCACTTGATGACAAACTCCGTGTGGCTGGCGTTCAGCTCCTGAGTCCTCCGCATCTTGTTCAGGTTGTTCCAGCCAAACATAGGAGTGAGTCCCACCAGAAAGGAGACGATCCAACAGCAAGCAATGGCCACCGCTGCCCGCCGGGGTGTCACCACACTCTTGTACCTGTGGAAGAGACAACAACCACAGGAAAGAATTAAACACAAGCGGGATGCTCTGCCTGGGGACTAAGACTGCTCCACATGGCAGTGCCCATGCTGAGATGACATGGTGCTCCTCATTCCCTTCCTTGGTAACAGTTTGTCCTGATAGAATTGTTAATGGACTGGTTTCTCTGCATGTGCCCTGGGGAACCTCACCCTGTCTTGACCACCACCCCTGGCCCCAGGGATGGGCAGAGACCTCAGACATGATCCTGGAGCTCTGGGGGTTGATGCCAAGCCAGGAAATCCATTAGCAATCTGGAGCATGCCTGCATGTTCAACCCTAAGCACCCTACACCCAGAGCAGCAGGTCACCCTTTCCTCCTCCCATGCACCAGCCCTGCCAGCACCCTGTCCCAGACAATTCCCCCTGCGCTGGGAGAGGAAATCGCCAGCAGAAGCATCCTCTGGGACCTGCCAGGCTGGAGGAAGGATCTGCTGGTGCTAATGGACCCCTGGGGAAGCTTCTGGGCACAGCCTGTTTCATTTCCTAATGTGCTGGGCCGATCAACAAAACCCTTTTTCCTAATGGGCCGGTGCCAAGGGATGGAGGAGGAGGAGAGCTGTGCTCTGGCTGGGCTCTGCTCCCTCCCTGATGCCACCAGGGAGCATGCAGGGGCTGGGCTCGTCTCTCCAGAACTCTCCAAGCGGGAAGTGGAGCCTGCTAGATTGATTTTTCCCCCTGGCCCTCAAAGAAAATCTTCTCCTTGGAGGCTGAGAAGATTCGCAGCCCAAGTGTTATTGCTTTCCACCGGAGGGGACTGAACAAAGAACATTTTTCTGACTGTTTGCTGGGTTTTTCAGTGATGCTGGTGTTAACCCGGCCATGGGGACCATGTGGGGGTGGCTGGCAAACCTGGATCTCCAATCCTGATGCTGAGAGCTCCCTGCTGCATATCTGCAGCCTTTACCTGGGTAGAAAAATGAAGCATTTCAGGGCTTTTTAATACAGCCAAGGACCCACACCCACTCTCACTCCCCCTTGAAGGTCCCTTCTCAAGACCCATCTCATGGGCAAGATGTCAGGGCGGAAGCATGGAGGGGCACAGGGTGGAGGCTGGACATCGGTCCCCAGGAGTCCAGAGGGTCCAGAGCCACCGGTCACCTACAGCTTTCTCGAATGAACCCCGCTCTGGTCTGGGAAAAGATTCCCAGCATCCCGGAGGCAGCCAGATCCCGTGGGAAGGAGGTGGCAACGTGGGCTGCTGTTTCCTCTGAGAGCCGAGGCTGGAGCTGGATGGTGATTTATGCCTTGTGGGCAGGAGAGAGGGCAGGAGACCCTGAGAAAGGCACAGGGCAGGGAGAGCTGGGGCACGGGGAGGACGAGGGGTGGTGGGAGAGCACCAGTGCTGTGGGCCAAGCGAAGGGAAAGGTGGGGGGGGCCCATGGGAGAGGCGGGTGGCAGAGGGATACCAGAGGCTCCCGTGGGGCTGTGTGCTGGCCCGTGCACCCCACGTCACCGATAACAGGTCCTTGGGGAGAGCTGATGTGCCCTTCCAGCTGTGACACCCCGCTCCCACCTCCCTAGGCTCGAGCATCTCGGGGGGGGCGACACTAGAAATAACAGCACCAACCCCCCAGCCCTCACTCCTTCCCTCTGCAGTCCCTGCAAGCTGTGTCCCAGCTCCCCGCTCCCGGGGCTTTCTAGGGTCTTCTACTGATTTTGCTGAACGCGCTGCCATCCCAGGTGCTCCCTGCCCTGCAGAGCCGTGTGACAGCCATCGCCGGAGAGACAAGGCTGCTGAGCAGCACCGCGGCCCCTAAACACCCTCCCAGGGCTTGCAGCCAGCACCCAGGCATGGAGCTACTCCCAGAGCACCCACCCCTTCTCCCCCCGCCCTCATGCCTGGGTTGGGGGAGCACACGGGACAGAGAGAGCACTGAGACCCCGTTGTTAGTCATGAAGCAGGGTCAGAGCAGAGGACGCAGCGTTCACTCTTGCAGCCAAAGTAGAGGGGATGGGGAACGGCCGCAGGGGGCCCAGCCTGGATGGTCCCGGCCCCCTGCAGCTCCAGAACATTGCGTGTTGTTGCAGATGGCTATCAGGACAGCTGTGGAGGTCGTGCAGACCTCAGGTCCCTGGATGCACACAAGCTCGCATGGTCCAGCGTGTATAACACACACAGAGCAGAGCAACCGCCCCACACGCTGCCAGCTGCTCGTCCACCTCCCCACTTCAGTGCACGTCCCTCCCTGCTGCACATCCATCCCTCCTTGCTGCACATCCATCCCTCCTCACTGCACATCCATCCCTCCTCGCTGCACATACATCCCTTCTCAATACACATCCATCCCTCCTCACTGCACATCCATCTCTCCTCTTCACTGCACATCCATCCCTCTTTGCCTCACATGGATGCCCCCACCTCGCTGCGCATCCATCCCTCCTCCTTGCTGCACATCCATCTCTCTGCCATGGTCTACCTCCCTCCTCCTTGCCACACATCCATCTCCGCCACCTCGCTGCACATGCCTGGCCTGACACACACAACAGTTCGAGCATCAGGACCTGGCTCTCCCTGCTCCTTGCTTCTCTTCACACCGTGAGGTTTAAGCGTGGCACCGCAGAAGCAGCCGGCAGCTGAGAGCAAAGCCTGTCTGTGCATCTCCCTGCACGTGTGTACCACGCTCACAGGAACCGTGGCTGAACCTGAAAAATCCATAAACAGCAACATTTGGAGCTGGGGCTTTTGTTCCTTTTGCTCCTTCAAGCAACAAGCCAAGGGCAGAGGCAGCTCAGCACCCTGCAGGGAAACGTGCTCCCCGGGGGCTCACGGGTTCCCACTATCCCCTGTCAGCCCTACACGGAGGATGGCAAAAGCCATAAAATGCCTGAGCTCCTCCTCCATCCACCCCACAGGGCCAGGCCATGCAGCTCTCGGGGGGCTCAGCTGCTCTGAACGCTACAAACCCTACTTAAAGAAGGAAAATGTAAGATCCTACCTAATGCTTAACCCATGGCACAGGGCATTTGGTGGGGGGCAATCAGCAGAGGGGTCAGGGATAGACTTTGCTGTTCCCATGTTTCTTCCTTGGTTATGCCATAAAGAAAAAGCCTTTCCCATTTACCTCATTTTGCATTAATTTGATAGAGCTAGAGTTTGGGATGGGTCTGGGAGGCAGAAGTACTAGAAAATACTGATAATGGCTCACAATTAATAAATCATCTTATTATTATCATCAGCATTGGAACAATTGCTAGCATCATTACAATTTTATTACTACTATTATTTTTATTAACAGCTGCGCCTAAACCATCCATGATAATAGTCACCACCCTCATCATACAATTTGGGTTTGTTTCCTTTGTCTGTGGGGTTTTGAGCCTGACCATAATTGCTAGATTTTCCTCCTGTCCTCCCTCTCTGGTGGTTTTTGCACCATCCCTTCCCCAGAGAGATGGGCATCGCCCCAAGTCCTCCTGGATGCCCTGAAAAGGCCAGGAGAAAGGAGCCTCGAGGGAGCACAGCAACCATCCAGCCTCATAGATGTCCCGGTGAAATGGGATGGGCAGGAGCTTTGGTTTGCTGTGGAACAAAAATGTCTTTGAGGGTTTGGAAAATAACGCAAAGAGGCAAAATATCAATTATTGATAGATGTTTGCATCCCCAGAGGAAGTGCAAGAAGCGATGGTTGGAGGCGGAGGCAGACAAATGGTCCCTAAGGGCTGCACAGAGCTAACGGGGAGACATGGAGCAGTGTCCTCCAGGGAGAGATGCTGCCTCGTGATGGGATGCTCCTGGAGATGTTGCAAAGTTTCTTGGGCTGAGGATGGAGTCACTGGGGGAGACGCTGAGGCTCCTTTTCTCCAGGAGATCATGAAATGCTCCCCGGGCCCTCACCCTGAGGGTGCTATCCGCCCTCCTTTCCCTTTGCTCCTGATTTCCAGGCTAGATTCAACTTCTTCTGCCACATCTTGATGTGGCCAGACCTCTGCATCCCTCTCCACTGCAGCCAAGGAAGCCCAGCTCAGCCCAGGACCTGCTCTTTAGGTGTGTGGCACTGGGTGGGCAAAGCTCCCATGGCCATCTAACATATCAGGACACATCTGAAAAGAAATGGAGAGCTGTATGTTCATTGCATTTCTATTGATTTGGCTTTTGTCTCGGGGTCTGTCCCCCAAGAGAGAGACGAAGGCTTGTTTCCTAGATCTCCAACCCACAGGTCAATCCAAATCTAACACTCACAAAACATCTCCTCTTGTTTTGGTTGAAAAAGCTTCAAAGATTCCCGGTCTGGTTTGAATAAAATTTGGGGTTTTTTTAGTATTTCTGTGAAAATCCTTTTTGTCCAGAAAATACTTGCAGTTGTCCAGCCAGCCCCAAGATGTGGCTTCGCTGGTCCTTGCTCTGGTAGGGTTTATTGCAGTGCAATTCCTAGGGAATTAATTCACTAATGAAGGCAGGCCATCGCTAATGAAATGAAGCTGGAGCCAACATGGTAGGAGGAAAGGAGGCCAAGCTGACATGAAGCTCATCTGCATTATGAACGCAGCAAAGAAAAGCAGCCAGAGCATGTCCTGATCTAATTGAAAAATCTCTAGACAAAAGTGCTTTGATCTCAGGGGATTTTGGTTTCTGCTCCTTTTTCCTGGCTGTATCTTTGCTTCAGATCTTTCAGTGTCCTGGAGGCCACTGGGTGGGAAAACTCAGATGTTGGTGTTCAAAGCTGCTCAGAAATGCAAAACCAAGAAATGCAAAGTGGCATCCAGGTTCTGTGAGAGGCAATTTCAGCCGCAGCTCAGGGCTGGGACGAGGAGGTCCCTGGGCACCCGCACAAGGTGGGAAGTGCGGCAGAAGGGGCGCTGCGTGACAGAGGAACCCTGATCATGGCTCCTTTCTCACCTCTAACCCTGGATGTGAAAAGTTTATTCCTTCTTCAATCTCTTGCTTTGGCTATTTTCCTCCTTCCCTTCAGATCTCTTTTGGGCTTCATTTAGGTAAAAACCCTAAATTCAAAATC